CCCCAAAACCCCAAAACCCCAAAACCCCAAAACCCCATGATCTAAATATCAATAATATCAATAGCAATAATAGAAAACTGAAATAAAGAGGAGTTTGAAATTTTAGTTTAAATTTTTTGATATTTACATACTGATGAAAAGCACCTATTATATACAAGTCTAATAGGTATATAGATACAAGCTACATGTCCTTGTCTGTAATTAAGTGACCTTAATCAGCTTATTAAGTTAATATTGATTTGATCTACATGCATACTATTATAAACTTAGCTAGCACTTCTCATTGAAGAGAATTATTTGAATCAATAGGCTAAAACTGCAGCCTAGTTGATTGAATAATATGTTATATGAGATCAGAATATCACGCAACAGCCTTGCTACTGACCATGTGTGTTCTCTGCATTGAATTTCTTATATGATTCCACCAAGTACACATCTGCCAGCTTAGCAGAGCCATTAGTGTTAATATTAATGTTATCAGCGAAAGAGATCTTTTATTTCTTCAGATCTTTGTCAATAGAATATCCATTTCGATCTTGCCTCATAGTATTTCTAGGCAATCTACCACCCTTGAGTATTGATAGTTTGGGGTACCTAGGGTTTTCCAGCATACTCCCTCTGAAGTTTTCAGGCTCATCTTCTTGATCAAGGGATTTTGAAAGTCTATCGGCTCCGTAAGAGGTGCTCATATGTCTAGGATTGGCTTGATTTTAAATGATGTCACTTTGACTAAGCAGATCTTTAGAAGAAAATTCAGTTGAAGGCATCTCAGATTTGCGCTTCTGAGATGGCTGCTTGCGGTTGCTTTCCAAGCCATTTATATCTAGCTTTGAATAAGAATTGGTGTTTTTGTTATTAACACTATTGTTGTTATCAATGTAACCCTGAGAAATCCGCTTTGATCTACCACCTTCCATTTAGATATATCAAATTTTTATTAATTGCAATAATTAAAATAGAACTTATATTTAAAGTCCATTGTAATTTCTGATAAATAAATAAAATGGCATAGTATTTCCCTCAATAAAGTAATACCTGCAAATAAATCCAAACTTATTCAATCTAATACTATTTATATAGATCATGTGAGTAATTACTCAACTCTAAATAACGATGTAATTCCAGACTCAGAATTCATTCAAACTCTTGAAGATTACCAACCAAAAGTATTAGTAGTTGCCATCTTACATTGATCTATAGATTAATATTGAAATGATTTAGAAAATAATGAACTAAGTTGGTATGATAACTCCTGACGAGAGAGTCCATAAGCTTATAAGTGTGATAGTTGAAGCTCAGCTGCTTAAAATTATTGAAGAAGTCAAATGCGTGAATATTTAGACTCAAAGAGAGCCAATTAAGACCCACTTCAGTTTTGAGGATTTGCAAAAAGCTATGGAGGAGTTTGGAATAGCTCTGAGAAGACCACCTTTTCTCGAAGATAAGGCAAAGAATAAGAGATGATTAGTAAATTAAGAATCAAATCGGTTGATTAGTGTATATAATTCAGAAATAGACGATTAATTAATTTGGAATTGAGTTATGAAATTATTAACTTATTAATCATTATTATATAAGGGATTCAGAAGATGCTAGTATGTCAGCATGTGATTCCTCATTAATAACTTTAGGTTTAGCTTGTTCAGCTTATCTCATAGTAGATTTACTCTTTTTAATCAATCGCTCTTATTTTTCAATGGCCTTCTCTATCATAGTTCTGATTTACTCAGGCTTGGGTGCGAATGAAAAGAATAGCGATAGACTAACAGGATTATCAGCCTACTTCAGAGGTCTTTGACTTCCTTTTTTGATTGACCCACTTCTGTTTTAGACTGAACTTTTTATGCTTAAAGCATTTGTGAAATTTTCAGTCATTACCGAATTTACTGAATATGAGTTAAGTTTTTGTGATGAGGGTTGTTAAGCATTAGTAGATTTTGTAGATTTAAGTTTAATACTTGGAGTATTATTGCTTTAAAGGGTCTTAGCTCCTTATCTACTTAAACTCATCTAAGTGCCTTCTCTTGATTCATTCGTGATCCCAATCTTTTATTCTAATCTCTTTAGCAAAATAGAGTACTTTTCTATTCTTGGATCTCTAGGATCACTGTGCATTTCCAAGAACTTAATAATGAATTGTATTTTTTGTTTCTAGAAATAGAGTCTCACAAATTACTCTCTGACAGTGTCAGTTAATAAACTCATCTTCTTTAGTTTTAACTTGATACCTGCTTGTTTACCCCCAGACTTAAGAAGGGCTCTCTGCATAATCTCTCTTTAAATATCCCAAGCACTCCTTATGAAATCTACTCGAAACAAATCTAGCATTTTCTAATCTCTAAAAAACTTTTGGATTTTTACGACTCTTGAATACATTAGATTGAATCTATTTATCATTTCAAAAACAGCAGAAGTTTCCTCCATAAAAGCACTTAAAATTTCTTTGGCTTTCTACTATATTCCATCATATTTCACCAATGTAGTTAATGTAAATATTCTATGTTTATGATTATTAATATTCTATCTTACTATCTTGAGTGATGCTTAAATCTTTACTATTAGGTCTTACCCTTTTTGTTTAAAATTTTTCTAAACTTTCCTAGGATTCTTTTACAGCATTTTTCTTTGTAATTCTAAAGATTTCTATGATCTCTTATCTTTTCATAGCTGTTCTTGTGATTGTAGAACACATGCACTAAATTTGTAAGTATTACCCACTCTCTTACTTTTGTCCTCATTTGATATTTGTCTCTGAACTCATCTTTCATCTCATTTCTCTGCAAACATTGATTATTTTTTTTAAAAAAAAATTTACCTTAATTTTGAGAATTTCCCACTTATTCAAGAGGAACAATTTCTTTTTGTAGTCCTCAAATTAAATATCTTACTTTCGCTTTTGAACCTTTTAAATTCTATCTTCAGACTCATCAATTCTCGATTTCTATAATTCCTACTATATATAGTTCCAATGATTGACTATCATCTTGTTCTTGGCTATAATATTCACATCTGCCCCTCTAGTCTATAATTGATTCCTTTTTCGCTTTAGAATTTCAATTTGCTCACAAAACTCTTCAAACTAGACTTTGTCTTCAGAAAGATCTCTAATCCGTTTTTATATCAACATTCGATACTTATTCTTAGAAATAGCTTAGGAATTTCCACTCTCATTTTAAGACATAAATGTCTGATTCATGTCATTTTAGGTATCTTTTAATGGTACACTTTTATCTCTCTGATCTTCCTTTGGAAAGCTTATTTTAATACTGAACTGCATTCCGATTTCAGTGTAGAGTCCAAGATAAAGAAACTGCTGATTAAAATATGGATCAACTGATTCATAAGATGTGGTATTGACTCTAGTAACAACTTTCTCGCTGTTGTTAGGATTTGGCTGTTTGTTTTTTCTAGACATGCAAATTCTAAGGTCAATTTTCTTTTTATTGAAATCTTCTGGGTAGTCAATTTATATTTTGCATGGTGGCTATTTCCCAAGGATTGGTATTTTTGCATATTAAGCAGTGCTAGGAATCATATCAAAATGCTTTTTTTCATTCTTATCTATCTAAACATGCAGGTCATCACCACAGATCAAATTTGTTGCTCTATATTACAGGATTTTCAACTCCTACTATGTGTTTTATAACAGCTCTAAGCAATCTTGTTCTTTACGATTCCTGTTAGTAGCATCATAAACTGATGATGGCTCATCGTCATTGTTCAATCTTGAACCTGCATATGAACGCACATTATTAGATTAAAATTGAGTCAATCTATTTAGCTTATCGTAATTCATTTTATTCTCATTATCTGTATAAGCTGAGATCTAGCTCTTATTGTAAAGCTTTGTCTTTTTGGGACTATTACTTGGACTCTGTGCAGGAGATATCTATCCTAGCAAATATCCATCTAATAATTATTGCGAGTTATTTAACTATGATTAGATTATATTTTGATTTTATAACACTGATTTATTTCCCACTGTAGTGTGTCTTGTTAGATTTGTTAACAGATCAGTTGTTTGATTGTTGGAGTTAGATTAAAAGGTTTTATTCAAGTCTTTGATACCTTAAAGATTTGGGGTCAAATCTCTGCTCTTCAATTTTGAGAAGTTGCTTATTTTGTTTAAGTTACTCAATTATATTAGCTTTGTATTCTTGATTGGGTAGTCTAATATGGAGTCTTGTTCAAGCGTTATGTTGCTATTTTTATTTTTTATTATTTGCTTGAGTCTATGATTATAATCATCTTATTACCTGTTAGAATAAGCTTCTTTCGATTTTACAGTCTTGATTTAATTATCGGGTGATCTACTGTTATTGTTTTATATTTTCCTTCTATTTTGGCTTAGTTGTCTATAGTCTTATGTTGTGATTGGTCTGCTCTTATTATCAATCGTTCGATTATACTAACTTGCTGCTTGTTATTTCCTGACTTTAATAAGATTATTGGCTCCTACTGAGTTTCAACTATGAAACATCTTCTATTTGATTTCAGATTAGGTTGCCAGTTAGCTTAAATCTAAAGATTAATCTTTATCTTAATAGATGTACTTGTGTTATTCTTAATGATCTTATTCTGCAATTGATACATTCTTGTTTCTATTTCTTTTAAACATTATTCCTTTCGTAGCTTGCTTACTCTCTTAAGTTTCAACATTTAGCGACTTCTTAGCTTATTATACTGTATTATATTGAATTGAGCGTTTTCTATTCCGATAACTGACAATATCAGTTGGATTAGGTACAAGTGAATTTGAGTACTTATTTACACTCATTTAAAATAATTTTTACTTTCATAACCTATTTTCTATTAGTATTTCTTTCAATCTCTAGATCTTTTTTAACTTAGCTTACGGGGTTTTGGGGTTTTGGGGTTTTGGGGTTTTGGGG